CTACTCAGGCTTATACTTCTACTGAAGATGAAACTGTTGCCACAGTAATTGAGGATGGAACCCAGGAAGATAAAGCAGAAAACATGGAGAGCAAAGCCATGCCTACTCAGGCTTATACTTCTACTGAAGATGAAACTGTTGCCACAGTAATTGAGGATGGAACCCATGAAGATAAAGCAGAAAACACGGAGATCAGAGCCATGCCTACTCAGGCTTATACTTCTTCTGAAGATGAAACAGTTGCCACAGTAATTGAGGATGGAACCCATGAAGATAAAGCAGAAAACACGGAGAGCACAGCCATGCCTACTCAGGCTTATACTTCTACTGAAGATGACACAGTTGCCACAGTATTTGAGGATGAAACCCATGAAGATAAAGCAGAAAACACGGAGAGCACAGCCATACCTAATCAAGCTCGTATTTCTACTGAAGATGAAACAGTTCATTACGGAGAGAGCTTATCAGATGTTGCAACCTGTTCTCCTGAATTCTGCAAGAAGTTAGGAAGGCTGGGAGAGGCAGCATTCGCCGGCCCCTGCAGCCCGCAATTTTGTCACTGTGATACAGCTGACAGAGCTTGGTTGAAGACATGTGGACCAGGAACGGTATTCAATCCTATATACAGAGTTTGTGATTGGCCAGGGAATGTAGGATGTCCTCCTCATACAGGAATGGAAAGTGGACGCAGAGAAACGCACATTGAAACTGAAAAATCCAAGGCAGAAGATTTGAAAACAAGATTTGTTCCTGTTCCGGCACTGTCATCCAAAATAGCAGCTAAAAAAGTTCATTACGGAGAGAGCTCATCAGATGTCGCAACCTGTTCCCCTCAATTCTGCAAGAAGCTAGGAAGGCTGGGAGAGGCAGCATTCGCCGGCCCCTGCAGCCCGCAATTCTGTCACTGTGATACAGCTGACAGAGCTTGGTTGAAGACATGTGGACCAGGAACGGTATTCAATCCTATATACAGAGTGTGTGACTGGCCATATAATGTGATTGGATGTTGAACCGATTGTGATTGTGATTGTACACCATGTCCTGATGTTTTCACATTTCATGTCATCGTTTCAACTTTGTCATAAACACATTCATTGTTAGTCCAAAGTAGCATTTTTCATGATACTCAGTGAATCAGTTAGAGCATCCGACATTTACAACTTGAGTGGGACCAAATGGCATTCCAAGGCTGCTTCGAGTTTGGCTACCTTCATCATTTCCTTCTACCTCCATTTAATACTTTCCTTTTTTTTAGGAAAACAACTGTTCCAAAGTATCCCTAGAACCCATGTTGCTTCTCCCAGAGATACACTATGAGAATTCGAATAGAGTGATAGAGTGATAA